AAGTAATGAATACTGTATGTAAATCACTACCTCCATCAAGTGTCACCAATCTCGCCTTTACCTAAACGACAACGTTCACAATCAGCTTCATCATGCTGGGTCCACCTGATTAAATATGAAGCTAAATGATAAATGAAAGGATCCCACCCCTAGCCCCTTCCCCTCACAACACAAAAAAACACACCAAGAAAACAACAATAAACAAAATATAACCTCAATAGCAAGGAATAAAAATACCTTTAAAATAATATTTATTGTCACTAATAGCATCCATACACACAATCGGCGACCCGGTTTGATGTAATTGTAGGTCAATTAGCAGCCTTTCATTTGTACAACACTAATCAACTGCGACGTCCTAGCCCGTGGACAGTACAGGTGTTAATTGGTTGTCCAGGTGCCTCCGCCCACCAGTTTGTTTGAATGAAAAGAAACGCTGGACTTTCGTTCCGTATGACGTATCAAAGGAATTAATGATGAGATGTTTAATGTCGCGTTAAAAAGATAGAAAGAAAACAGCCCAATGGATTTCCTTCCGTTCCCCGGGAGTATGTTCTACCTGGTCAATACCCCATCACCACTAACCTACTTACACCCATCTAAGAAACACCACAAGGTTGGAGGCAATACCCGGTACTTTATCAATGATTATTATGGACACAGCTTTGTTTCCCAGCCACTGTATCAACCAAGATTAATCGTTTGATTAACTCTGTGTAATGTGTCCTTTCATGGGAAAGACATGCTACACGTCAATGCATTAGTAGCGAAATAATGACCATTAACGCTGTTGTTTCGCTGGAGACGAAGGTATTGGTAATAATAACTCTTGACTTGAAAATTCGGCGAAGTTCACACAGTTCCACTTGTGCGTATCTGTATGTGTCTTACGTTAAGTACCAACTATTAATGTAGAGAAACAGCAACTTTGTGATAGGGAATTAAGACGTCAGTGCCGTTGCGTTATTCATTTTCGATTCTGTTTCGTTAAAAGAAAAGAAAAACAACACCCACACACGATTACAGCGAAACCTACGCCCAGTAAGTACTGAATCACGGTTGTTTATATCAACTCAGACAAATCAGGAACCTCGGGAGTGAGACTCGAACCACGTCCTCAGGGTAGCATGATTCATTAGTCAGTCGAAGTGACACCTAGGTTACTTCCCCTTGCTTCCCTTTCCGACACCCATGGATTCAAGTCCATCCTTTTGTCTCGGTATTAAACACTCTCAGACTTTGCCGTTCCATGTGAAATCAAACAAACATCAGACCTCTACATCACATGAACATACATACCTCCTACATCAGATAATCTTTCATACCCCTACATCAGATAAACTTTCATAGAATGCAAAGTTTGGTTTTCATACCCCCTACATCACATAAACATACACACCCCTACATCAGATGAACTTTCATACCCCCTACATCACATAAACATACATACCCCCTACATCACATAAACATATATACCCCCTACATCACATAAACATATATACCCCTACATCACATAAACATACATACCCCTACATCAGATGAACTTTCATACCCCTACATCACATAACCTTTCAAACCCCTACATCACATAAACTTTCATACCCCCTACATCACATAAACATACATACCCCTACATCACATAAACATACATACCCCCTACATCACATAAACATATATACCCCTACATCACATAAACATATATACCCCTACATCAGATGAACGTTCATACCCCTACATCAGATGAACTTTCATACCCCTACATCACATAACCTTTCATACCCCTACATCACATAAACTTTCATACCCCCTACATCACATAAACATACATACCCCCTACATCACATAAACATATATACCCCTACATCAGATGAACTTTCATACCCCTACATCACATAAACATACATACCCCCTACATCACATAAACATATATACCCCCTACATCAGATGAACTTTCATACCCCTACATCACATAAACATACATACCCCTACATCACATAAACATATATACCCCCTACATCACATAAACATATATACCCCTACATCACATAAACATACATACCCCTACATCAGATGAACTTTCATACCCTTACATCACATAAACATACATACCCCTACATCAGACGAACTTTCATACCCCTACATCACATAAACTTTCATACCCCCTACATCACATAAACATACATACCCCCTACATCACATAAACATATATACCCCCTACATCACATAAACTTTTATACCCCTACCTCACATAAACATACATACCCCTACATCACATAAACATACATAACCCCTACATCAGATGAACTTTCATACCCCTACATCAGATAAACTGTCATGCCCCTACATCACATAAACATATATACCCCCTACATCACATAAACATATATACCCCTACATCACATAAACATACATACCCCTACATCAGATGAACTTTCATACCCTTACATCACATAAACATACATACCCCTACATCAGACGAACTTTCATACCCCTACATCACATAAACTTTCATACCCCCTACATCACATAAACATACATACCCCCTACATCACATAAACATATATACCCCCTACATCACATAAACTTTTATACCCCTACCTCACATAAACATACATACCCCTACATCACATAAACATACATAACCCCTACATCAGATGAACTTTCATACCCCTACATCAGATAAACTGTCATGCCCCTACATCACATAAACATATATACCCCCTACATCACATAAACACACAAACCCCTACATCAGATAAACTTTCATTGCCCCTACATCACCAAAACATACATACCCCCTACATCACATACACATATATACCCCCTACATCACATAAACACACATACCCCCTACATCACATAAACATACATTCCCCCTACATCCATGAACATACATACCCCCTACATCACATAAACTTTCATATCCCCTACATCACATAAACTTTCATACCCCCTACATCACATAAACATACATACCCCCTACATCAGATAAACTTTCATACCCCTACGTCACATAAACATACATATCCCTACATCAGATAAACATACATACTCCTACATCAAGAAACATACATACCCCCTACATCACATAAACATACATAACCATTACATCACATATACACACATACCCCCTACATCAAACAAACACACATCCTACACCACACAAACATACTTCCTCCTTAATATTCTTCGAGATATTTTGAACAATTATACAAATAAACATAAATGATATATATTAAGACATATGGTATTCAAGGGAGTGGGTGAGTTGTGTTTAACGCCGCTTTCAACAGTATTTCATTTATATCATGGCGTGACAGCTTCATGTGGTTGGAAAACACAATGTGGAGCTGGTCATATACCGTTGACACACTGGTGAACCCACGAGGAATAGGCTTTGTGCTGACAAATCAAGAATGACAATCAAGATGAATCTGGGATTCGAACCCACGGTCATGCAATTCTGTCACGCAAGGGACGCAACTCTGCACAACAAATTGCGTCGCTTCCGGCACCTGGGCCACTCGTGTCCCCTCGACGCATGGAAGACGCAATGGAGTGATTTGCGCCTTGCTACACAACATATGCTGCTGACACAAGCTTAACAACAATATCAGCCATCTATTACTATACGTGATTACCGCTCTGTCAGAATGGCATATCAAGGGCGCCAGTCGCCCCTGGCGTACCACGGGATTCTCGACAGATGGGCTACTGTAACTGGGATGGTCTATCTTAACATACATATATACACTGTTCCGTTTTTGCTATATTGTTATGAGAACAATATCGGGCCTGGTTGGTAGGCAAATCAATACCACATGTAATCTCGAGCAATTAAAAAAATCAACTGAGCCAGCAAGCTGTTCAAATGTACGTGTCCGATATTGATTGTTGAGAAAACACGTGCGTAATACAAACATGGTTGCACATACACATAAGATGTAACTTTGTGGGAATAAATCTGCAATTAGAAATATGTCTTTATATATGTACTTTTGATAATAACATTCGTGAAACCGAGTGATTATTTGTGATTGCTTCAGGCGTATAAGCATTACATATACAAAAAAACAGTCCAGACATCTGTGCTTGTCAAAACTCCTTTACACACACGCGCGCACGCACACACGCACACACACTTATTTTTGTGTTTAGATACAAAAATTTATACTTACATGCCATTTTCAGTCTGAGTCATTGTTAACGTATAAATCATGTCATGACAGGTTTGCGTTAATCGAAACGTACGTGCTGTGAGATGATAATGTTGAGATCGAGATAAATCATTTATGACAGATGTACTATCCGTGACCCAGACTATTTTTTTTATATTAGGAGCTCCGTTGATCTGAGTTTTAAATTAAACGGATATCCTTTACAAAGTTATAACACTCCACAACTAATTTTCAACCTGATAGGTAAGTAGTTAAGTCTCGGTTTTAAAGTAAAACAAAATCTCAAATCGTTTCATAACAGGGATAGCATTGATACAAAGTGCATAAATGTTGGGGGTTTTTTTTACCGAAAAACAGTCCTCCACACTACGAAATTCAAAATCTCGTCTTCCTTAATGGGTAATTATTCAAACTAATATTCCAAAGAAACTAGGCATAGACCTGCAATCACCATTATTAATATGAATCATAAACATAAATATAGCGTGTGGCCTCCTTGTTTCGTGAAACAAAGACATTAGCGTTAGCCTCGGAATCACAGTGGACAGAAAACACAACCTTGCCTTCCCCCTGTTCCCTGAATTGCTTTGTTTTAAGCGAACTATTTCGACTATGATATGTTTATCGAATAGGTAATTTCATGTGAAATACGCGTGGCTGGATTGAGATTCTACTAATTCACATAAACATCAAGTTCCTCAGGTGAACGCCCATGTGAAAGACCGACTGCAAGCCAATCCAAATCACTGACATTACACTTCAGGGAAAATGAATATGTGTCGTGGATTCTGATTGGCTGGAGTATTCAATCGACCGGTGTGCTCTTCGTGCAGACGAAAACATCTGTCGCAGTGACACAGAATGGGGTCTTGGAACCAGGTGAATTTACCTGTATAACACGATCAGGTATAGAAACGCGGGTGTGTTGGTCGAAGACATTTGTGTACTTTTACATACACTGACCCGTCAAAACACTTTATGAAGGATAAGTGTTCAGACTCCCATTTACAAGGAATCACAAGAGGAAACATTGAAGGGATAAACGGTAGAGTTACCTGGTTAAACATCACCGTGACAAACGGCGCTTTAGGCGCCTGTTTCAGCGACAGGCAAGGATACAGTACCATGGTATAACACAACGAATTAAACTGGAGGTAGGTCTATATAAGTATTATTTTAAATATATGTATGATATATGAAATGCCAGTGGTGATAGGACGAGTAGCAGTATTAAAGAAATAGCAGTCATTATCGTGACAATCATAGAAATTCTATGATGTCGCATCAGTCATAAACAGTCAAGCAAGCTTATTTGTTATTTGATATTCAATGGCAGATGTTCAGTGTAATTTCACCTATGTATTGTGTCATAAAGTTACGTGAGAGTTCGAGTTCAATTGACAGCGATGCGAACGGTTCTGGGTCGGTAATTTGTGTACGGTAAGCACGTGCGGCAGGTGGGCGAGATGTGGGGCACCTGTCATACAGGATGGCCAATGCAGAAATGAGAGAAGATTAAACTATTGTCTGGTTCTCTGCAGTTGTACACGGGGAGTTCATATTAGCATTATCTAGAAGTATTGTTGTAATTAGAGCACATATTTCAATAGAGGCTCCATCCTTTCCCTTAGCTGTTTAGCCGCGCCCAAAGATACGATCAATGCCAAAATCGATGCTAAACAGTTTGAAGCGAACCTGCGTCGGACATTGCTCAAAGAAGTAAAGACAACCAGAATAGCAAATCTAAATGGTTTAATTATTATTTTATAATTCTGTCTCCATACCAAAAAAGTAAATGTTGCAGGTATTCTTGCGTTTTTTATAAGACTATGACAAACAGTGTGTATGGTTTATCTTAAGCACACGGAAAATCATCTCTCTTGAAATTTGAAGTAGGTTTTTCTTTCTGTTGGTTAAATATTGGATTTTTATTTCAAACTTTCAACACCACAAACCTTGGCCTCTTGAAACTGGTTGATCTGTATGCTCAGGACTGAGGGAGGATATGTGTATAGCCATTCAGATTTTAGATATTTTCTTTCTCAGCTTCGGAGCTGTGTAAAGTACACAGTGAACAGTAGTAGTTCCGGCATGAATGAGATATTAATAATCCTGAAAGGCAAAGTCACTGATATATTAACATCAAGGCAGATTTATGTTTGACTGGAGGAAGTCTGTCTATGCATATTAGGAAAATATTATTTAAGAACATCCTTTTTATGAGCTAAGATATTTTTTTATGTATTATGCTATGAATATTCACTCTTGAAAGAATAGTGTTCCTTTGTGCACAGGGCAGTGCATGAAAGGATCGTTAGTTTGTTTATTTGGTTCATTAAAATTACCAATAAATTTACATCCGCTATATATTTTTTGGTATTTTTGTTATCTGTTTGACAGGTTTTTCCTATTTTACCATCTGATGTCTTTTCACTCCTCTCATGTTTTATAATTCAGTTATTGAATATTAGTATACATGTGAATATGATTTGTGTTCAGTTTAGGTAAATCAAACATTTTCTTGTCACATAGTGTTTCCTGATGGCTTTTTAATGAGCTCCTTCTTAAGCACAAAACTATATTTAATTTTTTAGAAAAAAATAGATATGGAACTCTTTTGATCGCTAAATTCCGAAGATAGTTGTGTCTGTTCCAGATTATTTCTTGGGATAATTTTTGTAGCAGTTTAGCCAGGATTTTAATGTACATTATCAATAAGTTACAAGAAAGTTATGGAAATGTATATTGTCATTGATGCTTAAAAGAAAGGGTTAATGTGTTTTGCTTCAAGTATTATTTCTGTCGGACATACTTTTATTTCTCGTTAAGTATTATGGTAAAAGGTTAAATATGAAAGAATTTTGGATTTACCCCTTTTTCTTAGAGTATTATCTGAATCCATTTTGCAATTAATTATTACATCCACATATTTTAATGTTAACGTAAAGTACAATGGTTCTTTTCAGATTTTTTCCCCACTATATTTGTTTTGGAAGTTTTAAGAACCTTAGACCAGTTTAAAAACAGTATTGCTTTTGTACTATAGGAAATAGGGAATGTCTTTCAGAAATTGGTCAAATGTAAACTGTTATATTTGAGATTACACTTTCTTAGTAAAGTATGTCCAGTGAAGATTTCAGGTTAGATTTGGTGTTCCGCGACCCATGCTTGTCATAAAAGGCAACCAACAGGATCAAATGGTCAAATTCGCTGATGTTGGTGATGCATGTCAACATATCTCAATTGCGTAGATCGATGCTCATAATGTCACTCACTGGATGGTCTGGTCCGAGCTCGATTATTGACAGATTATCGTCGTATAGCTGAAATATTGCTGAGTGCACGTTAAACAACAAACCAACAAAATCTTCTTCAAGTACAAATTCTAGTCCTGTTTCTCATTCAGTCTTTCTATTAAGTATGTGATAAGAATATCTTCTATATGACACACCATCTTTTTTGTTAATATGCTTGAAAGACATGTACTGTCATTGATATCATTTTGCTACAGTAGGCAATAAAAAGTAGCTGAATAAAAAAGATGTTTTAGTTAATTTATATTTATAGTCCATACAACACTTTCCCGTTGTTGTTTGTTTTAATCTAGTTCAGTAAGGCTATAGACAGGATATAGATCTGGCCCTCGTGTGAAACATCTTGCTGAGAGAGGTATAGGTATGAGATGTTCCTGAAGCATGTTTAGTGGGTAATGGCTGAACAAGTGCAGTTGTAGGGACGGTGAATGGCCTGATGGTGCCAACCCAGCACCACAGGCAGGAGGATACGGTAAGCGCCATCGCTACCTGTGATCAGGGAGAACGTAGACAATACCTGACTCTAACAGTCAGCCTTCTCTCATTCTCAAGAAGTATACATGCAGTTGACTTCCATTAAGTGGTTAAGGACTGTGTCGGTACGTATCTGATTTGTTACCTGACAAGGTTGTTTCCAACTATTTGTCATCACTTTGGATATCATTAACACACAAACACAAGGTTTAATTAAAACAGAAACAATTATACAATAATTGTACCTGTTTTAAAAGAAGTTAATAATTAAGCATATTTACCATGTTTATGTAAGATATGTTTGATTGCCTGTTTAGATTTTCAAGAAAAAAAAATTACAACATGCTCTCTGTTACTGGTACCACTGAGTATGTATTTCATGATACCCCATGCACTCAATGCATTTTCTGCAGTGTGCACATACTATTACAGACCAAAATAACAAGAAATTCTTTCTCAACCACCTCAGGAAAAAACAGTTGAAGTTGTGAAGAGGGCTATCAGTGTTTCAATCACATTACTTGTTTATCCCACTGGGTAGCCATTCTATAGATGTGATTACAGTGTACAGTAATGTCCTTTGTCCATGAGTTCCTGGTGCCAATAACCCAATGGAAAACTGGTGCCATCTGTCATTCATCTCCTTGAGTTATCACTCCTGTTTTGTTAGTGCATCAGTTTTCTGGTGTGAGTCCTTGTTATGTGGGGTGGCCCAGTGGTTAAAGCCCTGTCTCGTCAGACAAGTGACGGTTTCATTCCCAACATTGGTACAATGTTTGAACCCATTCTCTGTGCCCTGCTGTGACATGGGTAGGTTATTCCCCAAAGCAGAATAAGACCACCCTTTTCTTTTTGACCCATTTTCTGTAATGATTAGGCTTATTTAAGTTATAATTCTCTGAATCAAATTTCAACCACAAGATATGTTTCTCTTGAATGAAGTGTTTTAGAGGGTATATCACCAGTGATTTTGCCGCAGACAATTATCCTTAGGACAATGTCATGATTATTTCAACTTTGGATAGGACATTCTGCTGTATCAAATCCAAACTTGAAAACAATCTTTAGGGACAGTCATGGACGATAATCAATGTCCTAGAAAATGTATAATCTAGAAGCCTGTATCACTGTTACAAACACCATATTCAGTTACTTTCCTTTATATATATATCTATACAATATATATGCTTATCATAATAGGCAACTAATGGGATCAGGTGGACAGGTTCAATGACTTGATGCATGTCATCGTATCCCAGTTGCGTGGATCAATGCTCATGATATCAATCACTTGATTGTCTGGACCAGACTCGATTATTAACAGACCACCGTAATATAGCTGGAATATTGCTGAGTGGGGCGTTACTCAAACAAACAAACAAACAAACAATATATATCTTATCAGTAGTCAATATGTGAAACTGAATAATTTTCCTTAAGGCACTAGATGAACCTCTGACAATCATCCTGGATGGAGTAGATAATGTCAGTGTCTATTATCATAGACTTTCCTTCATTGGTTGCTCGCTTGCTGATTGTCAGCTGATCAACATCGGCATTAAACGAGTGGCGTACACGCAAACAACTTGTGTTTGTTTTCCATAAGAACGGATTAAACGTTGTTGACATGCAGTTGTGACAAAACTGGTAAATGAATATGAGAGCAAAAAATCCTAATTTTATTTCCTGCGAGAATTGACGTTACAAAACCTATCTGCATTTGAACATGCAGTTCTAATGGCGTGGACAAACAGGAAGAAAAGGTTTGTAGAAATTATTTGAAATATATGTGTCCCATCCGGCATGGCATCCCACCATTTTGAACTGACAGGCTGTGACGTCGTAACTGAAATACTGTTTAAAGCAGCATTAAACTCAGCACTGTCATAAACTGATTGTTCCTTGTCCTAGTTTCTTGGTGTTTTATGTTTTTTTTCCTTGCTGATATTGTGTGTAACATGTCTTCCGGGCGTGTGTTCGTCCTGGGATAGTGTATGTGTACTAGTATGTATGGAACTGATTTATTTCTTTCCTCTATTTATTTAATTATTCAAGAGTGAAAGTAATGACCATGAGTTGTACAGAGGGTGGTGGCGGGGTATTGACTGAATATTTAACAAGATAGCTGTGAGAATATTGCTTCAACAAAGACCTGGCGACGCTGTGTGTAGAGGTTCATTGGCGATTGCTGAGATCACTTGTAGATGTCCTGGGAAAACCACTGAATGCGTGTTTTTGTGGATTTAAAGGAGTCATACTCTATGTTGTACAGACATATAAATAGCAAACGATTTCAAATGAAATTTCATTTACATAAATTAGCAACAATACTGTGTGGAAAGTCTTATTTGTCATGGCACATATAT